TGCATTTGTGTTACATAATGAAGATTTTTATATAAAGATTTCATTGTCGCACAGTCTAAGGTATAATCTTTAAAAATATCATTTGATATTTGTAAAAAAGGATTTTTATAAATGATGTCGCAATATGCTTTTAACTCAACATTTAAAAAAGTATTAATAAGTAAAAACGTATGAATATTATAAAAAATTCTCTTTTATAATTTAAGTGCAACAATTTTCTACTCCACTTTGATCATTTCACTTAGCTCTTGTTGCATATCCGCCTTTTCTATTACTTTCAAACTTTCAAATTTATTGTAGGAAAGCCATAATTAATATTTTTATTAATCAATATATTTCTCAAATCATCGATATTGGAAATGTTATTTACTATATTTTCTTGTTTTTTTTTAATTATAATATACAGTATAGAAGGATATTACTAAAATATAATGGTCAGGCTTAAATAATAACAAACCAACAAATATAGTAATAAGTTGCCTAAGTATTGAGAAATTGCAACTAAATTTCCTATATTAGCAGATTTTTGGTAATAAATAAATGGTTCTTATTTATTTTTTCAATATCAGTTCCAAAAAATATAACAATTCCTAACTTGGCTTATTCCAGTTTCTGCATATTTTTGATAATAAATGAATGCCTTATGTTTATCTTTTCAACTCCAATTTCATTTTAATAACAATATACAACATTATATAATCTATTAGCATTTCTCATCTTCACTGATTTTTGATAATAAATAAATGTCTTATGCATATCTTTTTCAACGTCAAATCCTCTTTCATAACAACATCCAACATTAAATGCTCCTTCAGCATAACTCATATCAATAGATCTTTGAAAATAAATAAATGCATTATGTTTATTCTTTTCAACACCATGCTCATAATAGCTTTCAAGTGTAAATGTCTCTAAACTTTGCAGATTTTTTTATAATAATCCTTATCCTCATATTATTCAACTCATATTTCTTCATAATAACAATCTTCAGCATTACCTATCTTAGAATAATAAATAAATGCTCTATGTTCATATTTTTTTTTCTATCCAAATATTGCAATATCATATTTTCCTTCAGAATCTTCACATTAGCAGATTCTTGGCAAAGAAGAAAATATTTTCATCATTTTCGGTTGATTCCTTTTCATTTGACGTTTTATACAAAACCAAGATAAACGGTAAATAAAAATCTAAAATTATTTATTCATTTAGTCCAAAAATAAAAGGCTAAAAGCCTGGTACATATGAAATTTTTCGTTTCCAACGACCAATCAAATTCGTGTAATTTATGTTTATGCTAATCTGTCCGACAAAGCAAAAAAAAATCGAAGAAATCATGATCAGTTATTGGATAATTTGTTGTTTGCCTTGTGTAACCTTGCATTTATGCTAGGGAGTACCTTCGAAACCATTTTTATTTCCTGGATCTTTATCGTAATGGCTAACATTTACTTCATAATGAAAGTACAAATATCAACTACCTTATTATATATTTTTCAAACTTTTATAACCATTTCACTCAGAACCCAAATCACAATTTCGAACTTATTAAATAAAATATTATCTGTTACAGATTTCTTCTGTTTATTAAAAATTTTAATAACATTTATTACAAGTTTGAATTTTTTTTAGCATATATCTAAATCTAAATCATCAATGCAGGCAGCATAGGATCTAGAACAGCGAAAGATGAATTCATATTAATAGAAAAAAAGAAAAAATAAAATAAATTTGTAACTAGGATTATTACAAAATATTGCGTAATAAAAAATATATGGAAGCAAAATAATCGCTGTGACTGGAGCATTACAATATTATCCATCATATAAAACTATAATTATTCGGAAATAATTGAGTCAATCTTAACTGCTAAATTTACATGTCCGAGCTTTTTTTGGCGGTGATGCTTGTGGAAGGGGTATAATGGTCATCAGGAATTGAAAGTTCATATTTTCTAAAACCTCAAATTAAAAAAAGTAATTAAAGTTTTTATCAATTAAATAAAAACCAGATATAATAAGCGTAATTATTTACCAATTGGCTCAGAAAGGTTTTTAAAGTTAAGCAGTTAGTTGTAAGTTTATCTTAGAGAAAATTGGCAATTCGGTTGATAATGTTGGAATGCTTTTAATATTGCCAATTACTCTTTATCTTTTGCAACATTACGGCATACTATATTGTACCATCTCGATAATCCTTATGGATATCAGAAGCAGTTGGTCTGTTAGAAGGATTAGAATCCATACATTGATTTGCTAATTGGGTATAGCACTCAGGAGTATCTTTAGCAAACTCAGGACGTAATCCATTACAATATATTTGAATAGCTAACGCTTCATCATACTCTACATTATAATGAGGAGGTCTTCCCGTAGACATCTCAGCCATAATAATACCAAAACTGTAAATGTCAGCAGCTATTGTATATTTAACACTTCTGGCACAACGTAAGGTAAAACATCATAAATGCCATCTTTCAGATCAGACTCATCTTTCTTTCTAGATAATCCTAGGTCCGCAATATTAGAATTCCGCTAATATGTTGATTTTGCAGCATATTACTGCTATGAAAATCACCATAAACATATTCTAATATGTGGACATTGGCTAAATTATCAGATATATCAACAAGCTGCTTTAATTTATTTTCTCAATTAAGATTTCTAAAATTTAAAGATAGGAAATTATAAAGACTTTCCCTATTTGAATATTGAAATACCATCAAATATTTATATTAGCTGTGCCTTGAGTTAGTTCATACACTTCAAGGTTATTATCCATTAATCTAAATTCCATGTAACTTTTAAACTTGTTAAAGAAAATAAAAATTTTATGTAAATAATTTATTTATAATTTACCTGGTTCATAAAAGAATTTTTTAAGTGAAGTAGGTTAAAATAATTTATTTATAATAGATAAAGTTTTAAGAGCAACTAACTACACATGATGGCGCATGTGGTCGCATGCGACCTGAAATTATTATTTTATTATCTTTACTATCTGACCACGTTGCTGAACCTGAAATTATCCTTTTACTATCTAACCACGTTGCTGAAAACACAGAATCAAACCCCCCTATACCAATCATTTGAACATTAACTAATCTATTAAAAGGAATCCATCCAATTATATTTCATATGATGTAGCTTTAAGCCGAAATTCTTTAATACAATCATCGATATTCTTATTTCCACTTGTATTGTTTTTTGAGGGCATGTGTTTAACACCAAGTCATCCATGTGTTATATCGTTTGCAATTTGCACATTTTCCAAAATCTTAATACCTCATAGAACCAAATTCATCAAATACAAACATGCATTCATTTGTTGCAGTGTTTTGAGTTAATCCATATACTTTTGAACTTATAAAAATATACAAATAATAAATTAATATACACATTATAAATTAAATTAACTGATAAAAAATATAAACTAACCCACTTTTAAAATATTTTGAATATTTGGTGATATAGTTAATATTTTAAGCTCCACTTTATATCATCGCATACGTGTACGTTCTCCATATCAGTTAGGCCTTTTTAATTTCACGTTACATCTGATATTGCCTCCTGATTGGCTAAAATCATATCACATTATTATGGATCATCGATTTCGTCCAATAACAAATGCGATTTACCGATGACCAATAGAACTTGGAGGTGAAATTAGTAAACGCCATACCCTTGTATATTGATATGGCAACAGGACCTTGTCATTAGCGTTAGGTACTACTGTATATAAATTAATTCTTTTCAATGTTCAAACAAGACTTAAAAACGATAGTTCAAGGTAGGTTATTATTTTTTATATTACTTGTGATAATTTGACGAAATATTTTTAATCATACAATTAATACTTTACCTGTTCATATTTATAATTCTTATAAAAAGATACTGGTACATTTTATGACACGATATTTAATCACCCAAAAGACAACGTCGATAAAGAAGTCAAATCATTTGTTCGAGAATTTGAAGTATACTCATGATTATCCTATAGTCATTATGAATATTTACTCGGCTAATAATAAACTAATAATATTGAATTTTTTTTTTTTTTAGCTAAATAGAAATAATCGAGAATATGGAGACCTCAAAAAATGTATAGTATTGACTCAAAATGCACCTGATAAATTTTCGAGTGGAACTTTTCTCTTTGATAAAAAGTTAAATGATGTAACGGAAAAATGTAAGTTCTTGTAATAAACCATATTTTATGTGTAATATATACATACGTTGGAGATAAAAGGTGTCAAATTTAAAACAATAAATTTATATTTACTCTTTTTTTTTTTAACAAAGTGAATAATGTAAAACCGATTTTCACATCATTATTGGAAGAATTAGAGACATTAAAACAGGTGCGATGCTACGAAACTTTCATAATGAAGAATAAATATCAACTCTTATTTCATTAATTATCTCTATTTATTAAACGAATTAAATAATTTTTATTTTATAATCTTGTATAGGGACGCCATATCCCGCAAGACCCATACAAGCAGGATCGTCAACAATTCCTAAATGACCAAAATCGTGCAAGAAAGGAGTTTGACCAAGAATTTAAAGAACGCGAGCAAAAATTGATAAAAGAATATAGGATTATGATGGAAGAGGCTTTGAGAGGCCCTTCCGTTTTCGATACATCTTCTAACATAACTTCTAGGAATAGTAGTAAACCTAATGATCGATAGATTGTTATTTGCTAACTTGTTCAATGGAATATTTAAAATTATCTTAAATTAACCTCTATTTATCATATGAATTAAAAAGCATGTAATGAATCATAAAGATATGTATAATAGTCTAAATTTAAAAAGCATTAATCTACCATATTACATTTATTCTGAATAAACTTGTAAAAGCAGGTAATGCCACAACTAATAAAACAACTAGCCTATTACATGAAAAAATACCGATATCGTGATAACACTTTTCATACACTTCTCATCCTCAATCTATGATGATGGAAATAAAAAAAAGTATATAGATTTTAAGGTTTTAATATTTAATCATCTTTGGAATAACTTTTGAATCATTTAAATACCTATATGTCATTACTAAATCTCCATTTTGCTTCCATATGTGTGATTTTATGGTAGCCAATGTCATTGTGGGAGGCAATGTCTAAAAAAAAGATTTTTAATAGTTTTCTAAAATATGTATTAATGAAATATCGTAAACAAACCTGATCTGAACAGACCAATTCCAACCACATTTCAGGTTTTAAGGAATTTTTCGTTTTTTCATCCTTTTCTAGTGTATCCGTTAGAGTTTTCTCCGCTACATTTTTTCCTGGTTCAGGCTGATCAAGTTCGAGTTTTTCTACTATATATGAAAGAATTTTTCGAGCCCTTAACATTCTATTGGCAGTTAACCGGGAATTCCTTATAAATTATGAAAGAATAAGTTCATTGTTACGATTTCAGAAACATATAATAAGAAAACGCGTAAATTATTTAATTACCCATTTGGTAAATCCTCTAACTCGGAGCCCTCGTGAGGTTTTAATGTAAATCCTATTTTGACTGACTCTTTTAGTGCGATTTTATTCTTTTATTTATAAATATTTAAATGATAAATTAATAATAATAAAATTATTAGTCGTTTAGCAGACAATAATAAATGTATAATATATACTTTAAGTAAAAATTCCATTAGCCAAGGATGAGCTCTGAGTTCAATTAGTTCAACATCCTTCTCCATAGATTCAATTGCCCCACGGTACGAGTCAACAAATGTTGACGCTTCAGGGGAAACTTCTGAGATTATAACAGTTGTATGAGGTGGTATTTGAACTTCAGGTGTTTCACTTATCGGTAATTGCACAAAAGGAGGCTGAATAAGAGGACGTATGTTACGTATGGAATGGATTGGATCATGCTGTATAGGGTGATAACGATTAGAATCACCGATATGTTGCATTTGTACTTTCGATCTTGCAGTAGAATTAGCCTTTATAAAAATGATAATTAAATTTGATTAATTGATTATTCTTTAACCGACTATTTCAAGTAGATGTATTATTCACCTTTGATTCTTCATCCTTTCGATTTTGTGCATTGGATTCATCCTGAGATTGTGTGGAAGCAGCCAACGTCGAGTCTGTTTTTGCATCAGCATTCTTTTCTGTTGACATATTCGTTCCACTTGATTCAGGTTTGGCTTCTGTGCTGGGTCCCCTTGATATTTTACGCCCGAAAGTGGGTTTAAGACGACCGAATATGGAGTTTGAGGAGCCGCTACTACTTGATGTTTGATTAAGCAAAGCTGGAGGTGGTGGTTTTATTACCTCAGAGGTTGTTAATTGTCCACTTAATGTTTCAGGACCAGTTGAGCCCGGTGGTGTTACATTACCAGAAGCACCAGTAGGACTAGTTGGTGAATTATGATGTGAGCCAGTAAAATAATCAGATTGCTGAGATCCTGTAGCTGCAGGTGCAGTAAGTGGACCCGTAAAAGCGGCCAATGGTGTAGTCGGTGATTGTGGTAACGCAGATGTACTTTGTGGTGGTGAATTAACGTTTTGTGTTGTTGCCACAGTAGGAGGTGTGGTAGGCACCTGAATCGTAGCTGGTGGGAATGAAATATGTTGCGGCGGAGGTGAGCGATCATCCTGTAATTCTCGCCTATAATCATTAGGTTGATGTCTTTGCTGTTGCATCAAGAGATTTTGAGCCTGAAAGTCTTCATACATTTGTATCACACTCCTTGTAAAGTTGGCAAATAGATTTCGTAATACCCATTTGCCGAGATTAACTAGTAATTTTAATGTAACTATTAGTAATATCAAAGTATTTAATTAGATTGTTTATTCATTTCACAAAACTTACTTCTTTGATCTTCGCGAATATCTGCACCTTCTGGTAAATCAAGTTCATCTGCGTACGCTTCTGCGTCAAAACAATTTCTTTCATCAAGATGAACCGTCAATGCCTTTAAAATAATGAAAATTTTGAAAATGGTATCAAACTTTTCAAATAATTTATCAGTTAGCAATATAATAGTCAAAATAAATTTCTATTTACCCCTATACGTGTATCTACTTCACACCAAGTTGGTATATATTCGACAGTATTAATTTCCTTAATAACTTCTTCGAAATCACGCTTGCCAAACGTTTTGACTCGAATACACTATAATATTATTATATATCATCAATTTCTTAGTGGAATAGTGGTTTGAAATATAAGAAGCCGAATTATTTTTAGATTGCTTTTATATTGAAAATATTTTAATATTGTATAATATATATACCAAGATAATATCCCACAACACAACTTCTCCAGAATTGTCAAGTGTAACAATATGTCGTCGATTATTTAACATACAACATTTTATTAATCCATGCTGACCTGTTAATATAATTTAAGGAACGTTAAAATTATTGTATGATAAGGCTGACACATTAATTCTAAAAAAGTAAGTACCTTTAATAACAAAGTCCGGTGAACCTCTCACAGGAATCGGATCTTCTATGTCTAAACTATCCAATTTCTGATCATCGATAGTGACTGAATATAATGTTGCGACTTCAGCATCCAAAGTCATACCATATGATACACCAGCAGATGTAAGATTTATTATTGCAGATGATGGTATTGTAAGTGGTGGCATTGGAGATAATTTTGGAGATGTTGGTGATATAGAAGGTGAAGAAGATCGAGAAATTGCTTTACGAATATGTCGGGGAGGCACATCTAGCTATGATAGCGAAAGATGTTCGGAATGCACGTTTATAATGTAATGACTTAAAGTTATGACAAACAATACATACCCATCGCTTTATACTAGAATCCGAAGTTGCAGTCCAAATATATTTATTATCATGAGCGATAAGCTTATTTGCAAAAATTAATGAATAAAAATAAATATATACAATTATTCGTTTTTAATTTTGAATTATTAGAGTTCGTACGTATCATCACCTTACCTTGACGACACCAGTTTCCTCTTTACATATAGCTACGCACTCACCATCACGAATTTCTGCGCAACCACTATAATCAACTTTTGTGACCAATCCATCTTTACAACCTGCATAAAATGATTCTAACCTAGGATGATCTGAATAAAGAGACCATACAGAGTCTGAATGAACCGTGAAAGTGTTTATGCATCTTTGAGCCTTTAATGACCATAATTTAATGGTAGTATCGGATGACCCTGATAATATCTAAATTATCAAAATTATGAGTAAAATTAAAAAAGGATTTTTTATATAAAAATTGACTACTCACCAATTCACCATCATCACTAACTAATATAGCTCTAATATTATCAGTATGACCTGTAAAACTGGTGATTTGTTTTGTTGTTCGTGGATCCCATAAACGAACAACCTATGAAAAAATTAACTAACTAATGAATCTTATGCAATTATTTAACAAAAATAAATACATGGAAAAACTTACCTTTTCTGGAGATCCTGAAGCAATAACAGTTCCTATTGGATTACAAGCCAGTGCATATACAGACAGCTTTAATGATGATTCCGAAATTGTCGCTTTAATTATAAACCAAATTAGACATAATCATCGATAAATTAATGATAAATTTTTTCAACATTTCTATTTAATATTTATTGGTTTTACCTATCGGAGGTCGTTCGTAGTCAACAAGATTAATTGAAGAAATTCCAAAAGAAGGTCTACATTCTACTATATCCCATAAAATAATTTTTCGATCAAAACCACCACTAGCAACCCAACCCGGACCAGGGGCATGAGCTAAAGTTTTTATGTAATCAGTGTGACATCCGATAGTATAAGGACTAGTTGATTTATGAGGATGCCAAAGTTTTAATTTGCAGTCCGATGAAGCGGAAATTACTATAAACATTACCATAAACCCATAAATCCAAAAAAGTCACATTTCAATTTATTAACCATGACTACGACTATAATACAGTGTTGGTAATTTTACCGGCCAAATCAAATTTACTTCATTTGGTTCGCTATTTTGACTACCGAGGAGCAAAATAAAAAAAAAAAAAGGAAAAAAGAAATATATATGTATATAATTGAACATTTGTTGGCCGGCAAAATTTTTTTTTAGCCGGGAAAATAGCCAACACTGACTTTAAAGAAAGTATTAAACAATTAGACGCAATTCCATACATGATTCACAATTATGACAAAGTATTATGTCGTTGACCCAATCAGTATGACTTTGGAAAGACTGACGAAATGTCGATGAAGGAGGTTTCTGTTCATAAATTAGATAATGATAGTTAGAAATCGATTTAATTTATTATACTAAATAATACTTACCGAATAAAGATCAACTTCATCGTCGATTTCCCAATGTTTTCCACCCAAATCATTAACTTCATTAATGTTTTCGGTACTTTTATGAATTGATCCATTGATATTTGTAGTTCTCTTGTCTCTAAATGGTAGGTGCAAATCCCAAGATGCTATTACACCGTCACGCCCAGCAGAATAAAGAATTCCTTCCGGTTTTCCAGTATCCGGATTAACTGTAGTTGTGTCTAAGGCCAAAGAATTAATACCTAAAAGGTGACCATGGTCATCCTTATTATGAGTAATAACATAAGATACTCGACGTCGAGAAGCACGTCTCATTGAATAGTTGAAATTGAATACAGATACGTAGTATTATGATTTAATAAGAACGGAATGATCGCGTTTTAAATTATATAAATATAGCAATTTAAAAAAAAAAAAAAATTTAATAAAGAGACGAAATACCAGTATCGGATATGTCCTTCATTCATATCAATATTTAAATGTTCTTTGTGTAATGTGTAACATGTGTAGCATGTGTAACGTGCGTAACGTGTGTAACGTGAGCATGCAGATGAATGACAAAAATTTTTTTTTGGGCGATGATGTTAATTAAAAATTTTAATCTATAAGTCATATATCATGCATTTTGAATATGCTATATTTGTTCGTAAATTTGCCTTTAAGTCCGTAGGTCAACAATTTCAACGGATCTTATCACAAAAAAAAGATTCTTTAAACAGAAATAAAAAAGTAAAACCATTTATACAATTGAATTTTGGAAAAATTATTGCGGCAGCTACGATTGGCGGAAGTACACTTGCTGTATCAATAAAATTATATATAAATTTTGTCCAATACGATGTAATTTCACCTGATAAATTTATTCCTTTAACAATAAATAAAATAACTCCAGTCAATTATAACACGAGTATTTTTCGTTTGAAATTTCCGAAACCTCTAAAAGAAACATTGCCAATCACGTCTTGTTTTCATATCAAAGATGATTCAATACAAATTGTTCGCGAGTATACACCCATATCTCCAACCGATGAAAGAAATTACATTGAATTATTAATCAAGAGATATAACGAAGGACATTTATCGCGATATATTCATTCCTTAAAAGAAGGTAATATTGTAGAGGTGAGAGGTCCGATATTGACCTTTCCTTATACACCAAATATGAAAACACATATTGGAATGGTTAGAGTTGTTTTTCATACGTTGTTTACTATTATTGTTATGATGTTTTCGAAAACTCCTGATGAAATACTAAAAATTATTTTGATGATTAGATATGTGGTGGAACCGGAATAACTCCAATGTAAGAATTACTAAGTTTTACTAATAATGATTAATTTTTTAAAAATATTAAGCAAAGATATGATTGACAAGAGTGTTGTTGTTCAGGTATCAATTAATCAAGCATATTCTGTCTAATCCTAATGATAAAACAAAAATATATATGATCTATGCAAATGTCACCAAACAAGATATTCTCCTCCTTCAAGAATTAGACCAATTATCTCAAGAACACGCTGATCAATTAAAAATTTTTTACACTCTGGATCAACCTCCTGACGATGAATTATGGACACAAGGAGTTGGATATGTATCCCAAAATGCAATTAAAAACCATATTCCTGGACCTCAAGAAGACGTGCTTGTACTCGTCTGTGGACCTGATGGGTAAAATATTTACAAGCCACTGTATTCTCTACTAGTTTTTCTTTATTATTGATAATGTGAATTTTAGGATGATTCGATACGTAAGTGGTGACAAGGCGAGAGATTTATCGCAAGGTTCTGTTGGTGGTATATTGAAAAGCCTTGGATATAAACAGCACCAAGTTTTTAAATTTTGAAATATGATGATTTGTAGGTAAAAATCGCCATTTATTATTTAATGCATAAATTTAAACTTTCTACATCGATAGATGCAGTTCCAATAAAAAAATTCCTTGTTTATAATAAATTTTGCATGAGTGCTATAAATCATTCTCCAACTTATTTTTGCAACGGTTTAAGATGATAACTAATGATTAGAGATGGTTCTATATAATTGGAATAGTTGAAAAAACAATCTATGAAATTTTCACGATATAAATTCCAAGAACAAGTTTTAAACCTGCAAACACTTATAAGTGCTATGAGAAATTTTTCTCTATGAACAAGGCGTAAATATTGCAATAAAGTTGACGCGTTTTTTCAAAGGACCATGTGCTGCGCCATCACCTTTAACTATATTGTGGTTAAAAGTATTTCCTTTGAGATACGTGGTAACGTTAATTGAATAAATAATGATATGTGCATGTCGATGAAGGCTAGTGTGGTGTTCGAGGTTTCTAGCACGTTTATTTATTTATTGGTGCCTAAAATGTACAACAACGTGAACAGCTCTTTAAAGAAAGTTCTCGTCATAAAATAACATAATAAATAGTGTCCTTCGTTCATTCCAAATTATTTCATCGGATATGAAGGACGTTATAACATTCAATGTTTTTACTAGAATATCCAGTAGTAATTAGGAATTATTGGAACTGGATAACATAACAATTCTAGTGATAAACTATCATCTTTATCACTAAGTAGAGGTTCAGTAACATCAGAATTGGGTGGCATGTATATCTAGAATCGAAGATTAATATGCAGGAACAGGGAATATAATATGCTTAAGTTATATAAAGCATAACGTGAAATTGAACTTATTTTAATATGAAAATTTTGAAGAGCTTTTTTGGTTGTTTTTTTAAATACTATAGTTAAGTTTAGTATTTATGGTTAAAGTTTATAATAAAAATATAAGTGGATTTTAGTATGATTATATTTTTAAATATAGACCCCTATTTCTAGTTTTGGCTTTCAGTCGCGATATTAATTGATATATATTTTAATAGACTTTGATTAAAAAAAAAGTTTAATAAAAACAGTATAGCTCATTTTCAAAGTATTTTAATTGATTTACTAAGTATTTAAGATTATAATCATCAAAGAACAGCCTTCTATGTTAGATGAATTTTTACCGGACACCGGGTATATAAATTTGTCCGGTGTCCATTGATCTATTAACACATATAGAGCAAAGATTGCAGTATATTACTGTCCTAATTATTTGGTTTGCTTGACTCTGAACAGAGGTTTCTTGTTTCAAAAAAATAAAATAAAAAAAATTAGACAATTTTAGAAATTTAAATTTCATCGGACAACCTACTTGTCCGATTGCCCAACCCTGTCAAAGAAGGTTTTATATAAGTGTCATTATCAATCGATGCATTTGCATATTTGCATGAACAATTATCAAAATTGGTTAAGAGTGAAAATACTAATGTAATAAAAATAGTCATCTAAATTATAGTTATAGATGTTGAAAATGATTGAGGATTTGAACTGTTTAACCACTTAAAATCTGCAGGTCTAAATTATGTTGGTGACTGAATTAACACGATCAAAAGGTTAAAAAATCCGAAAAAATCAGTCAATTTCAATCCCTAAAGATGATAAACATGCCAATATCAAAACTTGCCAAGATGAGCTAATTAGCGAAATAGAACAGAAGTTGAAAAGAATGAACATAAGGCATTCATTTATCTTTAATAATCTGCATATATCGATATGAAATGCTAATGAAATTAATGTTAAAAAGGTAACATAAAATGTTATCCATTATTAAAAATCTGTTGTAATAGAAGACATCTAAGTGATGAAATGTTTGGATTACTGTACGTATGAATAAAGCGTCAATACTAATAGTTGGATGCTACTTTACTACTAATTATTGTTAATTTAACGATTATATCATTATTTTTTTGACCCAAATTGTTTAAATTGCTTTCATATGAATGTATTCAGACTTTAGCTGATGATGATATTCCAACTTTTAACAATCTCATATATTATGGTAAAGAGAGCTTTAAAATATGTCTACTCCATAAGTTACACAACGCCACGAGCAAGAGCTTATTTAAGATAGATAATAAAAAACATTTTTGTACTTGTCAAAACAACTTAATTGTTTTTTGAATTAATGCAATTTATTTTCTGACCAATTATATTTAACTTAAGAAAAAAACGCTTATTTTGTGAGATTTCGGTGACACCAAAGCTAACCACTTGCAAATAGATGTTGCATTAAATTAAATCGCGTGTAAGTTCACAAATTTCCAATTTGCGTTGGTTTTATATTACGGTTGTCACAACATTCCATAAATGGTGATTAGAAAAATATAAATACATTCTTACACTCTTTCTACGTACTACCGTCGCCTTTCGTCTTTATACATTAATCCTAACACATTAACACTTACACATTAACAAATATAAATGCCGAAATATTTTGTTCATTCTTTCACGATATAATGTTAAATTTAGCTTTTGTAGTTATATATTTAATATATACTACTCAGTTTGTGTATCCACAAACAGCGGTATCATCAATTCTAACCCTCCATCCTACTAATATATCTTCCGCTGTAACCTTCACCTCAAGTGCCATCTCAACCATCCAAACACCTATAAATGTAGTATCCACAGATAATAATAAAGTGATTGCTGTTTATTATACTTATTGGAAGCGTTCCTCATTAGCCGAAAATAACTTGCCATGGACTAAAATCACTCATGTGAATTTTGGTGCGTATCTGCTCATACACAATTAAAATGAATGAATATCGTATCTAAAATAATGTCGATGTATCCATTTTTATAGCATTCGCGGTCGTCGATGATCAATTCAATCTGGTTCTGGATGCACAATCACAGACAGTGTTAACCACATTAGTAACTTATGCTCATGCAGCTAAAGTAAAGGTATTGTTTCCTTTTCAATTCTAAACAAATATACGCATATATTTACAATATATTAGTTTACATGAACGCTACGTTCTTACTTTCAATTAGGTCTTACTTTCAGTTGGTGGATGGACAGGAAGTCAATATTTTAGTACATTATCCTCGACTGTTACATCTCGTACTAAGTTCATAAATGCTACTGTATCCATGATAAAACAACTTAATTTGGATGGGGTAAGAATTTTAATTAAATTCTCTATTAAACACAAATCAGTCATTGCCAAAATTTATATGCCCACATGGCACGAACTGACTGCAGTGAAAAATATCGATTTATGGTGTAACAATACCACTTTGGGTACTGTCGGCAGAAAACATATTAATCGGAAAAGTTACATTACTGATCACGTTATATTTGTTACACCAAATAGTGCATTCTGATTGGCCAATCTTGGTAATCGATATTTTTGACTATATCGATAAATATTTTTGCCAAATCAAATCGATATTTTTCACTGTCCCTGACCGCAGCACATGTCATGATCACATGATCTAACAAGTGCAAGTCTGAGTCGCTTGAACTTTTGGAACATCGCTCTGGCTAATTAAAGATTTTTTTTAAAAAAAAACTTTTATTTGTTTTAAATTTCAATGATTTATAAGGTTGACATTGATTGGGAATATCCAGGAAGACAAGGAATGAAATGCAATGCAGTGAATCAAAAAGATGATGCTAACAATTTTTTGGCATTGCTAACAGAACTACGCTCTGCATTAGGCAATGACAAGTTGCTCACTTTGGCTGTACCAACTTCTCCATTTGATGGACCAAACGGTACAATAAGTGACGTAAGCCCATTTGCTAAATTAGTGGATTGGGTTAATATCATGGTAAGATATGTCAATTTAACTATAAATTTCAAAATCTTTACTCAGGAATTCTTAAATTCCCTGGTTATCAGGATAAAATAACAATTTCTACCAGTTACCATCACTAAATTTAAACTAATATTCTTAGGCATATGATATTAGTGTCTCTGATACATATACTGAGAGTTGGGCCCAATTCACAGGTCCAAATGCTCCTTTTGATATTCCTAATACGACAAGTAACCGTATATCTTTTAAAAGTTCGATTTCAAATTGGGTAAATGCTGGAATGCCAAGTTCTAAGATCGTTATGGGTGTTGAATTTATGGGACGTGCACAAACTGCCCTAGAACCAATGTCAACGAGCCAATATGTTAAGCGTAATCCCATTGTCCCTCAAGGTGATCAATCTGATCAGATGTCTGCTGATCCATGTCCTGATGCTGATTCTAGTTATTCGGGTGTATGGACTTGGAGAAATTTAAGACAACAAGGTCTTTTGGAATGCACTTTGGAAAGCGATAGCCTTTGGACACGTAATTTTGATAACGTGACACAAACACCATGGCTATACAATTCAGATACATATATTTACATTTCTTATGATGATCCACAATCTTTGTACGTAAAAGCTAAGTATACAAAGCAACAAGGATTAAAGGGAATTGCTGTTTGGGAAATAGCAAATGATAATGGTCAAGAATTACTTAATTCAATTCAAATATTAAATAAAAATATTCCATCACCAACTAATGATTGTAGTAGTTCTGGTGGTAGTCCTAGTGGTAGTAGCACTGGTAGTGGTAGTTTTCATAAATTAGCATTAAGTGGTCCTGCTATTGCTGGAATCACTTTAGGACTTGCTGCTTTATTATCAATAATTGCATTTGTATATACTTGGTATAAAATCAAAAGAGCTGCTGTTGTTGGTCCAATTAATACAAAGTTTGTAAGTAACGATGCTTAGGTTTACAAAAAAAAAACCATTATTATAATTTAATATTATATATATTTATTTAAAGACTATTGCTAATTTTTACCCTGGGTGATATCAGTCAGGGAATATATATTACAGAGTAATAAATTTTAATAAAATTTATAATAAAAACATAAATTTACTATAAACTTTAAGCCTCACATTTTTTTCAACTTACATTTTAACTTAATTTCATATTTTAGGGTTAAACATACCAAAAATAGTAGATTAAAGTTATTTAAAACACTTTTTTAAAATTCTATAAAAATTGTAAATTTTCTTAATTGAATTTATAAAAAGGAAATATTTTCTAATATTAAGGTGTATTTATATGTAAAATTGTGTTTTGAACATGTTTACTTAAAAGACAAAAGTAGGTTATATTAGTAAAAAAACAAGTTAACTATATACTAAAGTTAAAATTTTTAGTTTATATATGTGCACCATTTTTTACTAAAGAAACCTATCTTTGCCTTCTAAGTAAACTTAGCATAAAATTTTACATGCGCATGTTTGTTAAAATGTGTTTCTCAGATCTTTTATTAAGTAAAAAATTAAATTAACGTTGGTAAGTTTTTTTTTAAAAAAAAAAATTTATCTGAATTAACCCAAATGAAACGCATTTTAACAAATATGTGCATGTAAAATTTTATGTTGAGTAAGTTTACTTAGAAGGCAAAGATAGGTTTCTTTGGTAAAAAAAGTTGTACATATATAAACTAAAAGTTTTAACTTTAATATATCAGTCATAGGACATGTCTTAACCGATGATTTTCCTAGTACTTAATTTTCGTGTAACATAACTTCGCATGACTTTTTTTGATTCTTTAGTAGCATACTATATTTCGATCTTAGACAAGTTTTATTTTTCGAGTTACATGCTTTTGTTTTATATTAAAAACGTTTATGTTATTTTATTTTTCATAAAATGAAATCAGGTCTAAAAATTGCAATTTTTCAACACAAATGCCAAGATTCTATTCCAAGTATCGTAAAATAAGACTGGTTTTACTTTGTTAACAGTAGTAAACGAAGAGCCTTACAACTTTAATTATGAGCACAAGGGCGCTTAGTTGTGACTTTTAGGCATTTAGTAAGAGGTGTCTTTTTTTATAAAATAAATTAGAAGTTAATTTGGATTATTTTTACCTTTTACACAATTTTAACTAAACTAGGATGCTTATATCTGATATGTAACAGGTAACAAACCGTAGTTCTCTAAGTGTACGCTGTTAAAAATTTGGTTCTAAGTGCATACACTTATAGAGGTTTACTGTATTCATCTAGAACTTAAAAAAATTTAATAAATTTTAAAGATCTTTAATTTTTTAAACACTAGAAAAAGTGTAGTTATGGATATGCATATATATTTGGGTTCAAATTTGAGTGTATATTTAAAAAGGGTGTATACTTATAGTGGGTGCGCTTATAAAGATTTTATTGTAATAAGATCCGTATGAAAGTTTGAAACGTATAATATCGGTTGCAATAGCCGAATTCTTGGCAGGGACGATGGTTTTCTGCATTTCACAGAATGCTGCAGAAATCACAGAATCAGATAGCAAACACAGAATGCGTCAAGAGTTGTTACAGTAGGATTATGGTACGAAAATATCATGTGCTTGGTATTAAGATAAATAAGACAAGTTTATTACGTAAAAGAAAAAATTTTAAATATTAACTAGGCGCTTGAGTTATAGAAGATAGGTTTTGTGGCAGAATCCATAGTCTTTTATAATTAGGTATAACTTTCTGAAAGGTTCCGGCGTAGAAAATAAAAGAACCTAAAATACGAGTGTGGGCGAGCTAAAATTTTGTTTGGTGTTCGTAATAATCTGAAGAATACGCTGCAAAATTGGTTGCTGAATAGCATAGAATTCATAATTTATAATGTATAACCAATGCAGAATTATTAGATTTTAGTCACGGAATTTGTATTTTGTAACGGACGGAATCGATAATTTATCATCACAGAAAATCATCATCCCTGATTTTTGGTTTAACAAAAGCAAGTCATGTGTAATTGAATGAATTTATTTTTGTATGCAAATAATGATTTAACATTATTTTATTTTTTAACTTTGTTGTTATTTCTCCAATATTGCATAACCTTTTCTTTTGTCCAATCTGAAGAGACAGTAAGAAGTTCTGATAGCACTTTCTGGATTTCATTTTCAGACACTGTATCTTCAAGTTCAAACAATTGGTAAGTATTGTTTTTTCTGGTTTTGTGATATATAATGCAGATGTTTATAAGGATTAGTTGTAGAGGATGACAACAATGATATTTGTTGCAATATTAAAGTATTCTGCTGAACAATTGATTCTTGAATAGGATTGCTTATTTGACAATATTTTTGTTTTTTTATATTTTCAAAATATGTATAGGTATAATGATTTATATTCTGTGTATAATGTTTGAAAGTTTAAGGTTTAGTTTTGTATACATTTTCTGCAAACATTTCTTAAATGTATAATTTTCCAGTTTTATAGAAAGAAAGAATATTTTTAACATCCTCTTTATTAATTTCTAATGCTTTTTTGAATAAATGATGTATTGTAGGATCTGGACAGTTAAAGGCAGATGACAGATTTGCAACTAGAGTTCAGAGTAAATCTTTGCATGACTTGATTACATGAGAATTTTAGCTTAATATAATATTATTAATATATTCTGCAAATAGCATTGATAGATGATTTCTTTCAATCTAAACTACCTTAACTTTCTGCATTATGGTTTCTTGGTTAGTAAGATTATCAGTTATATTTTGTTTAATGAATTTTACATTATATGTCTCAAGTACTTTATCAAAAACAAAATAATGTTCTTGTCTTGTAAAATTTGTTGAACATGCAATTTGTAATAATTTTTATAGTTATAAATTATTATAAACTTGAGTTAAAAAGTGTTACAGTACTTGCATATTTAAATTTTCTAGCTGTAGAGAAAAAATATGTAAATGCAACCAAATTTGTTATCTTTATTTTGTAATTTCTTTTTTTAATTCCAATTTTATAACCTATAAAGTATTCTGTCTAGCAAAAGAAGAGATATTATATTTTTATCAAGTAATTGTTACTATCTGAAATATCATTCATTGTTTTTTCTTCTCTCTTAATATGATGACACAATGCAATCCTGACTGTAGCCTAAATTAATTCTAAAAACATGACATGTTGTATAGTAATCTATTATATATTTAAAATTTTCTAAATATTATACTCCAAGAATTGTTGTGAGGTTAAATATTTTGTAATTAAAAAATATTATAATTAAAGTACAAAACATGTCTTTAGATATATACTACTGTTTTAAAAGTCAGATATTATTGTAAGTTTTTTTATAAGAAATTAATCTTTCAAAGATTGCTTAATTACATGTGATATATAGATATTTATTACAACCATAAGGTAAATTATAGTAATACATTTTATACATTGTATATACATTAGAATAAACTTCTTCTATTTCAAATTCATTTATATAATTTTTTAATATTCTATTCAAAATAGTTTCATATATCATCAAAGATTATTGGTAGTTAAGGATTCTTCAAAAACAGTTAATTAATAGGCTTATAGTTTTTAATTAAATAATCAAACAATATAAGAAGAATAAACTAAAATATTCAAAAAAATCAAAAAAAAATCAAAAAATCAACTCTTTCTATCAATCATTCAGACACAAAAACAGCTAAAGAAAAAAGAAAATTTTAGCAAAATTATCAATAAAAAACATCTCAAATAGCTCTAAACAGAAAGAAGTAGTAACAAGAAAAGCATTAGACTAGCAGAAAAAAAGTTTATCTGCAAAATAATAGCAGAGTTACTAAAGGAACAGCAGAAAACTCACTGAAAAATGACAGTAGTAGGTAATTGCCAGTAGACCCTATAACATAGATCTGTTTACATTACACAAAAGATGTATAATAGCAAAACAACAACAGACATATGCAGGTTACCAAATTAGAATAGACATTGCAAATCGTATATCGATATATGTAGAATCTAATATATAGATAAGCAAACTAACAAAGAAAACTTAACAACCAATTAGAAGACTATAGATATAAATAGAACATAGAATTAATAGAGCATGAAGAAAGTCTTTTAACAATATTTATGAAAAAAGTGTACTGGATAATGAATAGAATACATAATAAAATATTCTTCAATCAGTCAAGTAGCACATATGTAACATCAGACAGAGAAGATAAAATTGTAACCATGCTTACAGAGCAAAGCCTAGCAGAAGTTGTACTACTAAGAAAAACTAGAGAATTGATTGAAAGAGCAAAAAGAGAACAACCAGAAAAGAAACTTAACTTTACAAAAGCAGACAAGAACATAATGCTAATTGAATGTGAAAAAATTCAAGAACAAGAAAATAAAAAAATAGTGCAACAAGAAATAGCTATGAAAGAAGTAAAGCAAGAAGACAAATAAGAAACAGAAAGAAAAATTGAAAAAATAATAGAAGAAGACAATACAAGCAAAAGAAGATTACAGAAAGAAGACTCTATCACAAAATAAAAAAAAAAAATAAAGATAAGTAATAAATATATAGACTGATCAAAAAAAGAACCACCAATACAAGAAAAAGAATCAAGAGAAAAACAAACAAAAGAAGTAGAACAAGAGAATATAAAAATAGATGGTAAAGAATCAAGACAAGGTTCAATATTAGAAAAGAAAGAAAGACAAAAAAGAAGAAAGTAGACAGTAGAAAGAGAAATAGATATAGTAGAAATTTCATCAGAAGAAAGCATATGAGCATCAATTAGAAGAAGTTGTAACAAAAACAATAGTCTATTCACTAATATACCAGTACACAATATGCCTGAAGAAACAGAAGAAGAATGTGTAAAGTTCATCAAGTAGTCACTAAAAGCAATGAATATATTAAAAGCATTAAAGAAATCTTTAAATGAGGAAATTTGTGAATTAAAGTAAACTTCAACTATGAGTATAGTAAAATAAAGCAATACAAA